AAATACTTTTACTGTTTTACATGAATTTAGATGTATCATTTAGAGAGATGAATGAAAACTTTAATAATCTCTTTAAAATTAATTCTTTACAGACTATTTAAAGAATAAAAACAAACATTTATCCGAACACAAATTCATATTACAGTAGTTGATTATATTTAATATAAACAAAAAAATATTTTAAATATTAAACTTTTTATTTTTCATTAAAATAAAAATTATAACTATTATATTTTATAGATTATATATTTATTGTATGCTTATTTTTGTATATAAAAATATTTGATAATTAAATAACCTACTTCTTTCAGTTACAAAAATAGTGGCACAATTTACACAATATATAAATAGAGTTACACTTCAGAGCTTTTCCAAGTCTGAAGATTTTTACTTACAAATTTTAGTAGTTACAAATTTTTGAACTAATATTAATTCAAAAATTCTAATAATTTAAGAAAATACTGATTTATTTTATACTTAAATATATTTCANTTTACAAGTACTTAGCTCATCTTCATAAGTAAAAGAATACTTCAGATATGAAATAATACATTTGAAGTATTCCTCTATTCCTGAAAATTACCCAAGAAAAGCTTGAAAGTGCCGTAATAAGAAAAAGTTTATAATATGTTAAATGTGATGTGAAATTATTTAACAAAGCAGAATAAAAATATATTTATTCAACATCTATGCTTCAACATACATACATTTTCATTAAAGGTAAATATAATTTATCTAATACATACTCACAAAAGTTCACCATCCTTGCAATAATGTATTCATATCATTTATATGTGATATAAAAATAAATAATTTTCATACTGGACTCAATTAAAATTTATTGTATAGTCTATTCAGAGAGATGGCAAAGATCGTTAATATTCTTTAAAGAATTTAAATTTGAAAGTTTAAATATTTTTAATTTAAAATGTAATACTTTATTTAAGACTTTTGTTGTTTAGATACATTTATCAAATTCATTTAAAAGAAAAATTATACTTTATTGCAAAACACTTTTAAATATTTAAATCCAAATGCTTTCAAAGCCTCCTTGACTCATCTTCAAAGGGTCAGAAAGGCTCCTTTTTTTTAGAAGCAATTAATTTTCTAAAGAAACAAATTAGTAATTAAACCACTAAAGATAAACCAGAATGGCCCAAAAGTATTTTTATTTTAATTATTTAAACATTATTCCAGTAAAGTGTTGTTCTTGTATAGTTTAAGTTTGAATTAGTTATGTAAGTTTTGTATAGAGTGAATTTTAGATATGTGAGCTAGCTACAAAATATTCTATAACATAGTTGTTGATTCAATAAGTGTTTATATTAAACAGTATTTATCTACTTATTGAATGTATGTAAGCATTGATAGGTGAATGGGTATTAATATGTGGATTTCATCGTTGGATCTTGGATCCAAAAGTAAGATTAGGATCTCTTGGTCAGAGACATTTGGCCATTATTTTTGTACTGCTCAAGTAAATAAAATATTAATTCTCTGAATTTTTATTATTAATTTAAAAATATTAAATCAAAATAAAGAAAAATTTAGTGTTATAAATGTTTTTAATTAAGTGCAATATTTTAAATTTCTTTCTATAATTATTATGGTTCTAGACTCTAGAACAATTCATCTTTTTGAAGAATTAACTAATTATTATTTAAGTACAGTGATTATTCATAACAGGATTTTTATTCCCACAGCTTGAATAGTGATCACATAAGCTAAACATTATAATTACTGTAAAAGTTAAGAAAAATTACAATTAATGTGTATTTTCTTATAATAATAATAATTAATTTATACAGTATATATATTATATGCATTAGAATAAAGTGTGTATAGTTAGAAAAGAACATGGCATTAATGTGCTCAATTTCAACCCATTGATTTTGGGTATTAGCTTCATGCCAACTAATTTGACAATTTGAATCTGATGAAGAAACCAAAACATTGAAGCAATTGCATCAAAAATATTTATTACTAAAAATAAAGCTGATGGAGAAGAATATAATATAAAATTTGCATTTGTTATATAATATAGCTCCAGAATAAATTGTAATATTCACTTGCATCAAGTAATACACATATACATTTGCTTATAGTAAGTGCAAAACTCTGTGGATCAAATTGCTTGAATCATATGCTAATATGTTCTTTTTATGTTTTAGAGAATGAAGATACTAGAAATCTAATCTAAAAAAAACCAAACATACACATCAGACATGTACCAATTATGTTTTGATGCAGCAATATAGTGCATTGACTTGGCATTTAACCATTCTTTCCTAATATAAAGTTGGCCAATTTCTATAAATATAACTGCTGGCATATAAAATAAATTAAGAGACACGCAAAATTATTTTTTTGTATTGAAAAAAATATATTTAAAGACAAAAGAGAAGGATGATATTTTGATTTCAAACAAATTAATTTAAAAATGCAAAATTACAAAAATTCCTTGTTACAAAAACATGTGATTTTAAAAAATATATGAATTCTTTTGACATATTTTATAATAAATTTTAAATTCACAAATTCTCAACAGTGGTTCTTGAAGTCTAATATAATAAGTAGTACATTAATTTAAAGGGAATAAATTAATAATGTAAAATATATCAACAGCGAGTTAGCCATTTATTGATTGTTTGAAAATAAAACAAGGTTTTTCAATTGCAATTCCTAAGAATTAATTTAAACAGAGAAGCATGGATTTAAATAAAAAAACCTAACAGATATAGATCAGTTTTGCAAATAAAAATAAATACTTCATTTAGAAATGTAAGCAATACTTGATATATGTAAAATACCAAAGTGAAAACTGTCTTTTCAATTTAACTTTAATATTTTAGAATACCTGAGGCCACACTTGCATCTGTCTTTGCAAAGATGGTTGAAGACAATTGTCATAGTAATCAGATATTGCTACAAAAAATTTTTAGCCTAAAGTAGAAGAATTTACTATGTTTTAATTCTGAAGACACTAAATATATATTGGGCTGGCATCATTATTATGTGGACCAGTGATGTATACTAAGATAATGGACATTTGTCCTCTCACATTCTGATTGTAATAGTGCGCTAAATTGTTGAATCCATTCGAGATCATCTTTACCACAAATTCTGAACATGTCAGGATTTGTAGTAAGGATGTTTGATGCAAACATTACTTAAATTTCCTCTTTAAAGTTTTTCTTTTATTTTAATGCTATACAGGTAATCCCTGTATAACACGGGAGTTACGTTCCAAAAAATGCCGTGTTATGCGAATCTATGTAATACGAAACAAAGAACTAGTGCGAAAAGGGGGGTTAGGTTCCAAAAATTAAAAAAAACATGCTGTTAAATCCTTATTTAAATCGGATTTATTATTCATTTTTTTCATTTCATTTTTTCAAGTTTATTATCAAGTTTCTTAACTAACAAGTAAGTTTCAACTTATATTTACTTTAGCTTTTTTTATTCTGATTTTATATTCTGTTTGGTTTAGCATCAGATTTTTTAATTTATTCTAATTAAATATATTTGTTCAAATTATGACTAATCACAAATTTTTCAAACTTATCTTCATTCTGCTTTAGTGGAAAACCTCACATAGCAATTAACATATCAAACTTCATCTCTAGTACTTTTGAGCTTTACAAGTACTTAGCTCATCTTCATAAGTAAAAGAATACTTCAGATATGAAATAATACATTTGAAGTATTCCTCTATTCCTGAAAATTACCCAAGAAAAGCTTGAAAGTGCCGTAATAAGAAAAAGTTTATAATATGTTAAATGTGATGTGAAATTATTTAACAAAGCAGAATAAAAATATATTTATTCAACATCTATGCTTCAACATACATACATTTTCATTAAAGGTAAATATAATTTATCTAATACATACTCACAAAAGTTCACCATCCTTGCAATAATGTATTCATATCATTTATATGTGATATAAAAATAAATAATTTTCATACTGGACTCAATTAAAATTTATTGTATAGTCTATTCAGAGAGATGGCAAAGATCGTTAATGTTCTTTAAAGAATTTAAATTTGAAAGTTTAAATATTTTTAATTTAAAATGTCATTATTTCAAGGATAAGCCACTTATCAACATAAAAACAACATTATCTTTTATTAATTCTGATATAAAAGTTGATATTTTTATCAGCAAATGCTTAAACTTAAGATACTGAATTTAACTTGTTCTCTTTTTTTTTAAAGTAATTTATACTGTTGTTTTAATTTGAAAATAAATTTAAACAAAATATAGAATAATAATAAAATAAATCTAAAATTTCTTTATTTTTCATCAAGCTCTCGGATCTTATATAAGATGCAAACTAATCAAATCATTTTAATCACGTTTATTGATCACTGATCAATACTGATAGTCTAGAAGTGAATAACTCGGGAATTCCAAGAATCTTATGCAAATAGGTATAAATTTTGATTTTCTCTTGTCTGGAAGAAAATTATTTTCAACTATGTCAATGACATGCATAAAATTACATAATAGCATGTAATATATCTCATACTGTAGTGATGTTTCTATTTTGCATAGTTTTTCCCACAATAAGTATGGATAAGAATGATGCTGATGCAGGGTCATATTAACCCATGGCAGGTCCTTAGGTTTTCAGGTATTTTGGATTTTCTCTGACACTTTAATCTGTAGCCCAATCAGTGATTTTTCACCAAATCTGCACCTCCATGCAAAGATGCAGATTGGGCAAAGATAGCATGACATCACAACCCTGACACACGTGCGCTATGGATCCAGTCTTTGCCCCATTGTCTCAAAACAAACTTCAGCAGACTACAAGTGTCTCTTGCAACTTTTCAGTTTTTTTACATAATGACTGCTTTTTCAGCATATGAATATACAAAAAGGGATTGTAGGGATTCTGTAATAGAATCCCTACAATCCCTTTTCACTTACCATTTATAAAAACATTTAGTAATTTTTGTATATTTTTGTATATACATATTTTTATATATGACTCACAATTTTATCTTCCCAGGCTGCAGGTCCACTTGTTTCTCAGGCCCTACCTAGGCACATGCCTAGTACATTTAAAACAGCTTGTGTTAATGTGCTGGATCTTAATTGTATATCACTCTGCAACAAAGCTATAGCAGCAGTAAGCAATAAAACAAAACAGAATAAAACATTAGAAAATTCAAACATTCCATCATCTGTTATCTGACATTTTTTTTTCTTATAATCTTAAATTTTCCCAAAAAATGTCAGAAATTTCAAATAGATTATACAGTTCAAATGTAAATTTTCTAATAAATGTTCTACTTCATAACAAATAGGGAACTATTTTCCTTTATATATGGAGACTAATAAACAAGTCTCTATTCTTATTCTACAAAAGTCTACAATTATATAAATTCTACTGAAGCACCATAGGCAGGTGTACAGATGCAGAGGAACAGGGCCCAGAACAAAGAGAGTCCTGAAATGGGATGCAAAAAATTTATCAGTATTATATTTTCATTTTCAAATTTTAAATTTTGTGTTTGTGGAGCTGATTCCATAACATTTTTAGTCAAAGTTAAAAATGAAAATTGTGCAAGGGGCACATGAAAAGTTATTTATGGTACTGTCTATAGGTATTCTGTTATATCTTCAAAGAATAGAATCTAGACCATTATGAATAGTTAAAATGATTTTTTTTCAGCTTAAATGTAAACTCTAGAGCAATTTTGAACAAAATGTAATACAAAATTTGTGTCAGCATGTATTATTTAAATGTGCAGAAAAATTCATATTTAAATTGTTTCAAGCCAGAAATGACTATACAACAATTTTTTTCCAGAAATAATTTAAAACCATTTAAAACTTTAAGTTGTTCTTAGTCATTCTGTAAAATGAAACTGTTCAAATTAAAAATTTTTTACTATTGGCTGTTAAAATAATTTTTGATTTTGCATGCTTTTTCTATTGGAAAGAAGCTGTGATGCTTGAATCATGCAGGAACTTTATGCATTTTAACTCAGATAAAGCATTTTAATTATTCATTACAGTTAGTTCCTTGCAATTTAAAAAAATCTGACAGATCTAAGTATATACACATTCTTCATAATTATTGCATGTCACTTCTTTTTGTCAAGCAAGAAACATATACAGCTTAAGTTCTCTCAAAATATATTGCATATTATGTCAATATTTTTTTTAAAGATATCATCATGCTCTTTAATATATCGAACCATCTCATACAGGAAATAAAAAAAATCTGTTATATTAAGTTTACATCATTGTCTACACAACATGTTCTTTTCAGGAATCAAATTATCAGATGCAGACATAAAGTCTATAAAGGAAATTTGATAAGAAAATTTATTAACAAGCAATTATAACAGCAATAATAATAATAATAATTTAAAACTTTAAATTTGTACAACCATTTTAAAAATGTTCAGCACAGATTGTAAATTAAGAAATCTATTTATGATTTTCATATATTGGCTGATCATAATTAAAGTAGTACTTCAATTCAATACTGTCTCTAACATGCAACCCAATAAACATTTCAGGACATGCAAATGGTATTTCCATAAAAAAATTAGCACCAAATTCACCCCTATGGTGCTTTAAATCTGATTTCTAGATCTTAAAAAGTATATTTTATTGAGGACATGTTACAAATTTGGCAGTCTTGAAAAACAGTATCAAACTGATGTGAGAAGTATCATAGTGTATAGTGGGTTATTGACTTTCATACTATTGCCTTCAGGTTTTACACCTTCATATTGAGCAGTAACCCTGTATCCAGGGCTCGCTCAGGGGGATATGGCACCCCCTAGAGCATGATCATTTTTTTTATTTTAAATATTTAAGCTTTATAAATTTTACAAAACTGGCATGTTGTAATTGACATATTTAAAAAATCTTACAAAAAATTAAATTTACAAAACTTTTTACGATGTTGGTGCCTCAAAGCCATTGTATTTCTAAGCAGTACCTCATGCCTAAGCTTGTCTGTATTGCTAAGGTCTTTATATAGCATGAGTGTCTTGTACAAATAAAATGTTTGTGGCTTACAGTGCCAAAAGTGCCAGATTAGTAAATTTTGGTACTAATTTTTCCAGATTTGGTTGCATTTGGATGGACTGTTAAGTAATCCTTTCCTATCAACGATGTCTACAGAGAGTATGGTAAATATCTCTCTAGACATCGCTGATGGAGATATTTTAATTACAGTCACTCAATATTTACAATTTTAAATAATTACAGCTTTGAAGGAACTGTATGTTCATACAAATAAGTTGTATTCTTTCCCACTTGTGTTTAATACCTTTAATTAAATTTCCAAGGAGGAGATTGTTGTTTTAAAAAGTACTAAAAGTAATCAATATTCATTTTTTGTATATATTTTTAATTATTTTAACAACCATAATTATTAAATATCTTTATAAAATTGTGACATTGATATATCAAAAATAAGAGAGAACTTAGTCTTCGCTATCTTAATATAATAGCATAGAGAAATTTATAAACGCTGTTGGATAATTTATAGAAGCAAAACTACTCTTCTGAGAATTGTTAACAAAAAAAGTTGAAGACTTGGATGCATTAAGTCATTCAAGCTGAAAATGATATACTAGTTGATCGTAATTAAAAGTTGTCCAATTTAGTGTTTCTGCAATGGAAATCATTTATCAGGAAGTAATTTGGTTATTTGTAAAAGAGAAAAATATTTAAAAAATTTTTCTCTTTCTTATAAATTCTAAAACTTGTATGATGAGAAATAACACATTATTACAGTCTGAGCTGAGTTTTTAAAATGTATAAAGGATAAAGAATAGATAATAAAATCATTATTTTCGTTTAATATTCTATTCAATTGCACAAAATTTTGCCAGTAATCATGTAATTTATAAATATAAAAGCTTGCACTCTCACTATAATCAGCTGTTACAATAATGAATATTCAATTATCACTGTGATATTATTATTTAATAGATCTTATCCTAATAATAATATTAATTCAAGTTACATTATGATACTTTCTAAAAGGTGTTGAATGAGTCACATCTGCAAAGTGCATACATAAAACACTGCTGAAGTTTACTGTATTTAAACTAGTTTGCAAAGTGTTAAACTTGCATAGGAAATTATAACTTGATCAAGCAAACTGTTTCACAGAAGTATGATTTTCATAAAAAGAGGATTTACTATTGAATGTAATGGAAATTATAAAATATTGTAAATCATGACCTGTAGTATCCATTTTATAACAGAGATTTCTGCAGAATTTCTTATATTATTTGCCATTAACTTAAGTACTCAGAAAATGCTCTCTAATGAACTTACTTTTCAAGGGACATGAAGTTCCTTCAAAATTCAGGCAGTTGAAAATCCTAACATTTTGGGAAAATCAAATGACCTGCTCAAAAATTAGATATAAGTGAATTTATTGGTTCATTAGTCTTTTCATTACTGAAAGAAATACAGTTCTCATTATAAATTCAGTTTCTGATTCCCAACAAAATTACCATATTGATACAACAATTGTACATGATAATGCTCCTCCATATCTTTCCATTACATTAAAGAAATACTTCATGCTTTACACATTTTACACAGCTAAAATTTTGTTCATTATTTCATACATTACTATCATGATCATTTACATATTTTATTAAATAAGTAATAATTTATGAAATCATATACACCATACAGCAGATATTACTCTTCTTTGATTCTAAGAGGTTCAAGCTATTTTTTATTTTGCAGAATGTTAGAAATTGTTTTTCTTCGTAGATAAATGTATTTTTCATCATGGTCACAAAAATTTTTCATACAAAATGACATCAAAACAACATTATACTTTTTGCTTTGGAACAGGACATAAAATATTCTATGTTCTGTTCCAAAACAAAAAGTCATTCTGTGATTTCAATGCATGAAGAAGTCCATTAGACAAAAGAAAGTACTAGCAAATTCTAATTAAAACCATGTACAATATTGTTTTGCATGAAAATTTATAATGAAACATTGATTGACAATGTTCTGGTAGTTTCCCATTATATTTCATCAGCTCCATTATAATTTTATATGAAATTTGAATAAATGACTTTTGTTGTTTTAAACTTTTCTAAGTGTTCTTAAAACTTTCTGCTGATTATATCTATTGCATTATATAATTTTAGCTATACCGAACTTGACATTATCAGATAAGTTTCATTTGCATTTAATGTAATAGCCTCAAAAATCTTATAACTGATGGCACTTCTCTTTGAAATAAACTGCTAAACTAAAGCATTTTATTTGACCTAGTATTAATACATTAATACGTAAATCAGCTGTTCTTTTGTGTGGTTCTTATCATTCTTTTGGATTATTATCCAGAACAATGATTTAGCATCATAAAATAAATATAAAAATATAGATTTTAAACTTATTTTTCAATGTTCTAGAGAATATTTTTCATATTAAAACCTCTCTTAATGCAATACGAGCATTAAAAGTTTTGTAGAATAAGCAAGGACAAAGCTACTGGGAGCAAATTCCAGTGAATAGTAGGCAAAATCCCAACACCAAGAAAAGAAAAATAATAATAAGAGAAATATGGCAGCGTAAAGAAGTGGCATGAAGAATGGGAAGAATGGAGAAGAGATCCAGGTTTGACTGGCTTTTTGTATGAACTATTGGTATTAGGCAGCAAAATCAGCCTCCATGCCACCTCAATGATATATGTCTAAGTACAGCCCTGAAAATAAGAATACCAAACTGGCTATCAGAAACAGAAAAATCTAAGATTCTAATAAATTTTTCATCATACAGTGATTTCTCTCAGCTTTAAATTGCAATTTCAAAATTCATAAAGTAACGCATTATAGTACAGAAAGAATAATATTTTTTACTTATCAATTTAATGTAAAATTTATATCATTAATACTAATTTCATTATTTAAGAATAAGTTAAAATTTATTGTTATATTCATTAAAGCTTACGAATTCAATAAAGCTTACTGTTAAACTCTATGGTAAAAGATAACTGATTACCATATTAAAAATTATAATTTCAAAGTTATTATATAATAAATCAAAGATAATTATTCTGAAAGTTTTTACTTCGTGATGCTTTTAAAAGAATTTCAGTTTGAAAAATGTTAGGAATTTAAAATTATTTGAATCTATTGAAAACAGATACCTTACATTCTTTAATGAAAGATTTCACTTATATCATAATCAAGTCTAAATTCTCTATTGTCATGGAAACATATTAGTTTCAACAGGGAAAGGAACATCATGTAAGATTTAGTTCAGTGAGTCCTTATCTGCTGAATATCAATTCCATTTTAAGAAATGAACTTAATAATTTGTTATTTGAATTAATATATTGTATTATATAACGCATTTAAAAAAGTACAAAATTAAAATATATGTTTATAAATGAGTATAAAGAAAAGATTGAGAACCAGGACAACATAAAATATACTAAATATAAACTGTTATTAAGCAGATAACATACATAAAGTGTGTCAATTGAAAAGAGATTTTAAAACTTAGATATACTACATGTGAATAACTCTTTAGATTCATATAGCTTTGGTTACAATTTCAGTAGGTGATACCTATCAATAAATCTCAAAGGAATATAAGAAATAATAATAATATAACAGGTCTGCAATTTGAAATTAAAGACCTGTTATGTTATTAAATTCAGACTTATAAATTCCACTGTTGTCCATCTATCTGTCCTTTATTAATCTTGAGAATAGAATTAGATAGATGAAAATCGAGATCAGTTACGGAAAGCTCAACCCTGATTAATTTTTAAATTAAAATATGATTAAAAAATTGAAGCCTGGCATTGTGACAATGTCACAATAAATAATTAAGTTTTTTTTTCCTTTTGAAATTATAGAAACCTGTTCATTTATAACAAACATAGATCATACTCTGAATTAGAAGGTACACAGCTAAAACTCATGACTATTTCTATGTTTTAATTTAAGAATCTTCATAATAATTACACAGAAATTAGATGCCAAACAAGCAAAACCATAAATTTTTCAAATTTCTATCTACAAAGATTTTATATGAAGTTACATATATTATTTTTTATTATTGCATATAAAATTAAAACTAAAATGAACCTATTTTTCATGTTTATACTCTATTTGTTTTCAAAATATGATCATGAACATCTAGTACTTTTATGAAAGCATCAATGATCTTGATAATAAAACACTTCTTAAGGAAACTCCTGAAATATAAATCCAATTCAAACTGCTTTTTAGGCACAAAAGCATTATAGAAAACCCAATACTTTTGGGCTTTATACTTATATGAAGTCAAGCACTCCTGATAAATAAATATATATGTAAAACAATGATTGCATCTAGTAATGATTCATATTTATTTATCTTTTTATTTAATTTACAAACATCACTTCTTAAATGAAAAAGTTTGGATAAACTATTGCTTCTGTCATTTAAAAATTGGCTTAAACTAGTGGATAGCTTGAAAAAAGAAGTACATCTGCATGTTGTAGTATGTTTATCAGATACTTCTACTGAGAATGGTATCAATATGGTAAACTTAAAGTCTACCAGATTGTCTAAGGAGAAATGAATCAGCCCAGGATGAAAGCACAATAGAAATTCTTGAAATCAGGTAAGATTTCACATGAGGAGATATAAAAGAATTAAGGAATGTTAATTATATACCATAACTTAGATGTCAAATATGTTCCAGAAAGCAATATTTCCCAACTTCTTTATGCAGTATTCTTTGTAAAAATTTAAGAGATGGGCTTAGAAGATACACTGTAGTGTAAAGTTACTAAATTATAGTTATTTAAAGACTTTTTTATAACAGTCATAGCATAAAATGAAAATGTTCAAATCTTTGAGAGTACTTTATGTCAACTTAAATTACTTTTCCAGCATCATTTACTTAATATTGTAAATGATTCCTGTAGCATGTATGAAATAATGGAAATGAATTATGTTAGCATCAAATTAATGTATATTAACTCAACAATATTAAAGAAAATTATGAGGTAAATTCAGATTCATTCAATAATTATAATCATCATCAAAATCATATTTCACAAAATTAATATAAAACATCATAAAAAACAGAACAAAAATAAATTGTTATCCAAGATCTAAACAAGATCAAAAATGCACGTTTTTTTTAAGTTTCAAAAAATCAACTTATAAAACACAATATCAAAAACTTTAATTGAAATATTTCAAAGCAATAATTTCCTAGTAAATTCTATTTACATGGCAACATAAAAACAACTAGAAAATTTTAAACTGGATTAATTACATAGCTTGTTCACATTTTTTCACATACAGTGAAATTTCATTGCATATACCGTACAGGGGAAAGGTCGTCAGATCAAGGCTACAAGCAAATTGTTCAGATAGATAGAAAAAAATGTTTAAAAATAATATTTTTTGTATATTACACATAAAATTAACATCTTCATGAAACAAAAGTAACAGATTTATATAATTTAGAACTGCAATTACATTATGTGTAAGTGTAATGCAAGTAAATTGTTGCATCATTCTACAAAAATCAATAATTATTGTTTTATTTAATTTACAAACATCACTTCTTTAATTTTTTAATTTTTTTATTAATAATAATTTCTGTTTTGATAAATTTATTTAAAACTTTATGCAAAAATTTCACACTTTAATAGGTAATATATCAATTAAATGGAACAAATTCATCTTTTCTTAGTGTTTAAATTAATTATAGAACAAATATTTCATATATCCCCATAGGTACTTTCTTATTTCTTGCTTTGGATTTAATGTCAGTTGTTAAATGGTACCATTTATTAACCATGTTTTAATGTTTCCCTTCAAAATATCATTAACACTTCTCCATGCCTTGTTTCTTGACAAGAAAATAATGGGTACAGATAATTACTAGACAGTATTGCCCATTCATCTAAAGATAACCTTTGATGAAAGGGGTTCCCATCCCATCTGCTTTTTGCATCAGCTCCAATTGGTCTATGGCATTCATTGTGGTGAATAGTGTGGCCCAATTAATTTTGTTTGCTTTTAGTGTGCTACTCACCAGACTTCCACCTGAACATATAATATAGAAGTTTTCTTACTGAGCAACAGCCAGTACCAGATATCAAAACATTTTATGCATGGCATATTTGCACATTCTAACTGAAAAATAGCCTTGAGCTTACATATACAGTAGGTCTTTCCTGCTTCCATACTTGTAATTTGATACAAAATGAATGAGCAACACAGCCATGAAGTTTCATGGCTGTGTTGCTCATTCAATTTGTTTCTAGTTATCTAGTAC